TCATGGCCCTTCAAGATGTAGGACAAGGGGAAGTGAGAAGAAAAGGGGAGTAGCCAGTGGCCATGTTGGGTCACTCTACTTATAGCAGCGGGCTTGGGCATAATTCTCAGGTCACTGCACAGATTTCTCCAGCTGAATACGTCATGGTCATGTTAAATTGGGATTGGGGCCACTCTGGATGAGAAGAATGTTTCACTGTAAAGTAGCATACAAAATGAACAGAAAGGGAAAGGGTCAATAAGATTACTAACAAGAGAGTGGATAAGCTCCATGAGATATAATTTCACTAGGTCCTAATAACAACTGTGGGGATTTTGGTTGTATACCTTTACAAATTAGGAAGTAGAGGCTCAGAAAAGCTGGGTTTTGCCCCTGGTCTTAGGAGTGCAGAAACAGCATCCTTATGACTCTACGGCCTACTTTCCCTTCATCCCACCTTCCCATGGATCTTAACAGCTACTGGAACATCCATTCCAACCAGTCTTTAAAGAGTAATCCACAGATGTATCATTATCTGTTTGTGGTTCTATGGTTAGCCAGGAAAAATTGGTTCTGAGAGTGTGTCTCAAAGACTGATGTTCACTGGCTGAGAAGCAGATTTGAAAGACCTATCTGGCAGTGTGTAGGGACCAAGCTAGAAATAAAAATCAGCTCGTTTCAGACTTGGCTCCAGCTAGTTAGCTGGTAAGGGGAAGGAGGAGGGGTTGCATGCTTGCTTGTTGGGGGCTGGAGGACTGGGAGTCCCAAAGACCTTTGTTATATTCTAACCTTGCAGAGCTAAGCAATTTGGGGTTGCTTTTCTTGCTGATAACACTATTTCCCTTATTTACCATAGAACAGATTTTTTTAACAATTTATTTTTTTAAGATTTATTTATTTATTTATTTATTCATGAGAGACAGAAACAGAGAGAGAGGCAGAGACACAAGCAGAGGGAGAAGCAGGCTCCACGCAGAGAGCCCGACATGGGACTCAATCCCGGAACTCCAGGATCACACCCTGGGCTGAAGGCAGGCGCTAAACCACTGAACCACCCAGGGATCCCCCGTAGAACAGATCTTAATAGAAAGTTTGCTTTCATGGTAAAGAGTTAATGAATATGAAATTGAACAATAATATATCTCTCTGGTAGATGCAATTTCTAAAGAACATACATTATACATTATATATATATATATTATACATACATATATATATTTGAGGATGAGATGTAAGAGTTACAGGGAACTATAGTCAGCTCTACTCTACCTGAGGGGACTGAATCCCAGGGAAAGCACGCGACTTGGTTACTGAACTAGAGTGAACCCAGATTTCCTGTATCCTTATCCATCATGCTGCTTCTACAATCTAAAATTCAGTTTATGGATGAGCAAGCCATTTTTGTATATATTTTTAAAATAATAATAAAGTCAAATGAAATGATATTCAAGTCTAATCAAATGTGAAAGGTATGGGTACTTCCCCTAGAGATGTAGGAGGTATTGTGTATAAGAGAAAAGGAAATCTAAATATTAGGTCTTTAAAGAAATAGTGCTCCCTGACCTTTCCATGAGCATTCCTCCAAGGCAGTAAAGGATGTGATAAAAGGGCCTCCCAAACATTTCCCTTGGAAAAAAACGATATTAATAAACTTTTGTTTAGGGGAGAGAATTCCAATACATACTACCTGTCAAAGTTTTCTCTTTGTTACTAGGTTTAAGGGTAGTAATACTACCCGGTAGGTACTTTAAATACCTAGTAAATACTTTAAGAACAGTGTATTTTGTCTAACTCAGTTAAGATGAAAGAAGATGAAGAAGGAGGTGGGAATCAAAGTGAAGAAAATTCTAGTATTTTCCCAATATTCCAAAATGCATATGGCTTTATTCAATTGCAAGGTAAACAGAATATGGAATTTACCAGAAAAAAATAGTAAATAAAACTGGTGAGGTCAGCTTTTCATATGCCAATTACTCATGAATCAAAGAAAATTAAAAGAGAACCAACAGAAATAACATTCCTTAAAAAAAAAAAAATATGTTTTCGGGCAGCCCTGGTGGCCCAGGGGTTTAGCACCACCTTCGGCCCAGGGTGTGATCCTGGAGACCGGGAATCAAGTCCCACGTTGGGCTCCCTGCATGGAGCCTGCTTCTCCCTATGCCTGTGTCTGCCTCTCTCTCTCTGTCATGAATAAATAAATAAATCTTTAAAAATATATTTTTTTTCTTATAAAAACTCGAAGAGAATTTGTGGCACTTTACCAAACCCTAAACCACGTTAAGAAACTACAGCAAGACTACGATACTTTTTAAAATCCATTTGTCCAAAGAAATGAGAGATGGATCATATTTGACAAAGTGTAGATATGCTCACTTTATCTTCCTGGAATCACAATTTTATTACAATCAGATTTATTAAATGTTATCTGATTTCACTCTCCTCTTAAAACATCTGCAAATAATATAATTTACCTGCGTCTTTGGCATAACAACATGCTCTTCTTGAGTTTAACAGATCCTAGTCCAAGTGTTAATTGAATAAAGCTGTTCAAAAGGAACTTTGGGGTCATTTCTCTGAACACACCATACACGCAACAATATTTGCCCGGCAAGTGTCAATTTTCTTTATTTTAAAAAATCATATCGTGTAAAGGAGTTGTTTTCTATAAATAAGAGCCATCCCCCCCCCACACACACACACACATCTTTATAAAGTAAAGCGAGAACTCAATCCACTCAAGACAAGGGGGAGGGGAAAAATTAGGGCCGTGCTCCTTCGGCCTGTTGCCGCAGAGTAATACGGTAAACAGCCGATCACCGTACACGCTGGGGCTACTGCCTGCGTGACGTCAGCGGGAGCTAGCTGCAAAGTTCCTTGCCATTCCTTGCTGATGTCGAGGAGCCGAATATTTAAAGGGTGAATGTGGAGTTACTGGTTGGCGCTTTTTTTTTTCTTTCTTGTCCCATTTCACTCTTTATTTATTTTTTTTCACTCTTTATTTTAAATTCTGCAGGTAAAGCGACAGTGAGCTGGGAGCTTAAAGACATCTGTGGTGGAGGGGTGAGTCAGCGGGTGCAGAACTCAGAATTGGTTCCTCGGTGAGACGGTCGCCTCCTCCCCCAGAGACGAGGCGGCAGGGCTGCTCGTGGGACCGAACCCCGTCGGCTCCCCGCTGCAGGTGAGTGCGCCAGTCTCCCTCGCTGCGGGCTAAGCTGGAACCCGCAACTTCCCCTAAACGCCCCCCCACCCACCCCCGCATTTTTCACCCGCTGTGATGCCAGCATTCCCATCCCACCCTGTTTCCCTTATATATTCTAGGAAGTTACCCCCTAGTTAACAAGGGTGTTTTCCAGCCCGTGTTACCGCCCCGAGGTAGAGCAAAGAGGCTTTCCGCAGTTGCTGACTTTTGTACCACCTGTGAGCTCTTGAACTTGTGATTTTTGGCGATAGCCTTTGCCCCTAGGGTCCCCGCCTCAGGACCCGCCCCCAGCCAGAGCGCTTTAGAAGGCCAGATGGGTCCCCACTCCCGGCATTCCTGCCCCAGTGCCTGCGGTCGGCTCGCAGCCGTGGAAATCTAAGTTTCTCGCACAGACAGTGGCCCCCGGCCCAGAAAACCGGGGCGTCCCCTCTCGTCTTGATCTTTAAGCCCACCAAGTCCGCAGTGACCTGCACTTGCAAAGCAGGGTACCCTTCTGCAGGGTACCGCTTGCCCCCCTCCTCCCCGCAGCGCCACTTCGCCTGCACCCGCGCAGCCCGGCCGGGTGTGGCTCGAGGCTCCAGCCCTCCGGCACCGCGGAGCTTGCGGCTTGAAAGGGGCTGCTGGACCCACCTCGGCGGCGTTCAGCCCTCGGGGCCCGCCGGGCTTTGCTCGGGACCCGGCTCTCCCGCCCGCCCGCTCGCTGGTCCACAGGCCGGCGCGCACCGCGCACCCGAGTGTGAATTCCTCCGGCGTGAACGAGCGCGTGGCACCGTGGCCTGCGGTCCCCGTGTCGCTGCGGTTCCCTCTCCCAGGCCGCCCCCTCCAGGTGGCTGCGAAGCAACCTGTTCAAACGGCACCGGGTGGATCCTCCAGTTTCCACCGGCTCGCCTGTGCGCGACACACACACACACACACACACGCACACGCGCGCACGCACACCAGCCGCAGTCCCGCCTAGCGAGCTTCGCGGGGTTTAATTTCGCCGTGTGCGGCCGCTCGGAACTGGCCTCTGCAGCTGGGGGGCTGTTTGCATGGGATCTCGGAGCCGGGCGGAGGCCGCGCGCGCCGCGCGCCAGGGCAGGGTCCCAGCGGCGGGGGCAGGGCGCGCGGTGCTCTCGCGCGCAGCCTGGGCCGCGGTGCTGCAGGGACGCCGCTCCGGGACCGCAGCGCCCGCGGGGCCCCCAGCCGCCGCCCGCCGCCCGTCGAGCCGACTTGGGCCTCGCTGCCCCCCGCCCCCCACCCCGGGCGCCTGCTGCACACCCCGCCTTTCTCTTTGCGCTCTTTCAGGAGGACGCGGGCAAGCAGCGCCCTGCAGCCGCCTGGGGCTCGGCCAGCGTTTCCTACCCACTGCCCCCGGCCTGCGCGCCGGGAAGCTGGATCCAGCGCGAGGCAACCGCGCGCCCGTCACGCTGTGGGTCGCTGCGGGCCGGGAGGAGCGCCCGGGCGCCAGCGGCCCCAGTCTCTGAGAGTCGACGGCAAACGGGTACTTGACGGTGGTTTCGCCGGGGAGACTGGAGTTCCCGAGTGCGTGCAGGATGCCGGGGCTTCTAAGCAGGGCGGATCCGACGGTAGGCAAGAGCGGGCTGCTGTAACTCTGCGACTGCAGTTTGCAACGTGCCTCCTGGAGCTTCGCGCCAAGGCTCGGGGAGGCAGCGAGTCGCGGCCCGGGGCCGGCGCAGCGGGCGGGTGGGGTCCGCGGCAGCCCCGCGCGCCCCTGGCCATGTCGCCTCCACTGCCCTGCCCCTTTGCGTGGCCTTCTGCGGGTGTGCAGGGCAGGCCCGGGTTGCTTCCCACCCGCGCGCGCTCTCTCCCCCCCAGCTAGCCCCAGCCGGCCAGGCTCCCCCGAGCCCAGACCTTCTGACTCCGCTCCCTCGCTTCCGCCTCCGCCCTCGCTCGGGGGGTGGCTCTCGAGAGCCGGACCTCGCCGGCCCCGGCTGGGACCATGGTGTTTCTCTCTGGAAATGCCTCCGACAGTTCCAACTGCACCCACCCGCCGGCACCGGTGAACATATCCAAGGCCATTCTGCTCGGGGTGATCTTGGGGGGCCTCATCATTTTTGGTGTGCTGGGCAACATCCTGGTGATCCTCTCCGTGGCCTGCCACCGGCATCTGCACTCGGTCACTCACTACTACATCGTCAACCTGGCGGTGGCCGACCTCCTGCTCACCTCCACCGTGCTGCCCTTCTCGGCTATCTTCGAGATCCTGGGCTACTGGGCCTTTGGCAGGGTCTTCTGCAATATCTGGGCGGCGGTGGACGTCCTGTGCTGCACCGCGTCCATCATGGGACTCTGCATCATCTCCATCGACCGCTACATAGGTGTGAGCTACCCGCTGCGCTACCCCACCATCGTCACCCAGAAGAGGGGTCTCATGGCTCTGCTCTGTGTCTGGGCGCTGTCCCTCGTCATCTCCATCGGGCCTCTCTTTGGCTGGAGGCAGCCGGCCCCCGAGGACGAGACCATCTGTCAGATCACCGAGGAGCCGGGCTACGTGCTCTTCTCGGCGCTGGGCTCCTTCTACGTGCCACTGACCATCATCCTGGTCATGTACTGCCGGGTCTACGTGGTGGCCAAGAGGGAGAGCAGGGGCCTCAAGTCTGGCCTCAAGACGGACAAGTCGGACTCGGAGCAGGTGACGCTCCGCATCCATCGGAAGAACGCCCCAGTAGGAGGCCCCGGGGTGTCCAGCGCCAAGAACAAGACGCACTTCTCGGTGAGGCTCCTCAAGTTCTCCCGGGAGAAGAAAGCGGCCAAAACGCTGGGCATCGTGGTCGGCTGCTTCGTCCTCTGCTGGCTGCCTTTTTTCTTAGTGATGCCCATTGGTAAGTAGGTCTTTTAAACACCCGGCCTCGGTATTTTAGAGATCTGCATCCTGTTGCCCTCTGCTACCCCAGACTCACAGCGGGAAGGCGGTGGGGGGCAGAAAAGGGATGTGCATTTCAAACAGCGAAACCGGGGCCCGGCGGGGTAGGGGGCAGTTGGGAAATGAATGCTCCCTTGTGGAAAAGTGAACTTTAGTTCCCTTTCTTCTCCAGTTCTCATTTACATGATTAGGTCCTGGGGCACTTTTTCAACTACGGTAAAGTGGCTTCTAACAGATTGCAGATTAATTGGTCTCCTTAATAAGAACGTCAACTTTTCTTAATGCCTCTAAGCACGTGTTTAATTTAAATAGCTGCGTCTCCCTTGGAGTCTCAGAGTCTCCACCACACACTCAGGCAGGGTCTGTAGAATGCCACTTTCACCTCTGCTGCTATGGACTGCAAATTCTCTTGGCCTAAAAATAAGCACCATACTTATTCTGAACAAATGTGTAATTTTGTTATTAGATTAGATTATCCCTAAGGGTTAGTCATAATGGTCTGCTTATGTTCTCTATCTGTGTTAATTTTATTTACTTAATTCAGTATGGAAGAAAGTGTGGCCAGCCACGGACAAGAAAAAAAAAAAGGATGATTTTATGTCCAAACGAATTTAAGCTTTAAAGAATTCGACATAATGTTTCCAATAAGTAAATTCTTTCCCCTATTATTATTTTAATAGTTTTAAAACAAACAGGATTCTCATCCAGGATCATTCTGGGAGTTGCAGATGACACTGTTTGAAAATAATACAGTTACAGATCCAATTTTTGCAAATGCTAAATTAGCTATCGTCAAAACCAGTTAGCTCATTGTAAGTATCCCCGAGCTGATCCACTTGGAATAGCCATCTATCTCTGAAAGGCCTTCATGAGATCCCAAAATGGTTGTTTGCTATTTTTAGTTTGTGAGCTCAAATATAGGCCCACACACATTGGTTATCCACTAACTCTAGTAAACAAAAAATATATATATAAATTAATAGAAGTTCGTTTCTGGCACTCTAGAGCCAAATGTAAGTGGCATGTATTTAAATTACTTGAATTTGCAACTCTCTGTAATGATAGCCGCTATTAGTTTTTGAGGGCCAACTCAAAAACTGCATTTGTCCAGGCTCTTTATTTTGTACATCCTCTCAACAACTCAGTGAGGAATGCATTATTATTATTATTCTGAAATCACAAGTGGGGGGAAGAGATTCTTGAGGTCCTAGAGTTTCACAAGTACCATAGCCACCAGCCACATGTGGCAATTTAATTCGAAATAAAATTAAAGAAAATTAATATTTGGTTCTGTAGTCCCACTAGCCAAAGTTCAGGTGCTCAATAGCCACACATGGCCTGTGGCTACTGTTTGGGACAGCAGAGGTGTTGAACATTTGCATCGTTGCAGAAATTTCTATCTGACAGGGCGGCTTGAGAGACCTTCAGAGTCTGCTAGCTGACTTTCCGTTGTGCCAGCCCGTCATTCTTGCTCTGTTCCTGGAAGTACATCACAGTTTTGAATTAATTTACATAACACTCTACCTGAGCCACTGCTTCCCTGCTTTTCTGCATCCCATCTCTTACTTCCTCCTGAAATTTATTCACGCATCCAGTGCATATCGGGCCCTTGTTCTAAACACATAGTTTGAACAAGGCAGCAAACTCCATGCCAGTAAAACGTTTGCATTCTTTTAGTGGGGATCGACAAACAAATAAATATATCTTAAGAAGGCAAGGATTACTAAGCACTATTTTAAAAAGTAAACAGGATATGAGGATCAAGATGTGTAGGGTGACGAGGCGCGTGGTCAGAGGAATCCTCTCTGAAGAGGTGGTATTTGAGCAGAGGCCTAACTGAAGTGAGGAGCAAAGCTTGCCAAGTCTGGGAGGGTCTTCTGGGCAGAGGACGGCAAATACAGAGATGGGAAAGAGCCTGACCTGGTCAAGGCAGAGCAAAGAGGCCACAGTGGCTGAACTACAGATGAACGCGTGGGCAGACAAGGTCAAACCGGGGTAGCAGAGACAGACTCGGTCAGAGTAATGTGGATCTTTTTTTGGCCCAAGTAGAATTTGCATATTATTCCAATCCTGATGGAAAACTATCCAATAAGACAAGTTTTATCAGGGAGTGGCTGGTTATATATATATATATATATATATATATATATATATATATATATATATATATGTATGTATATGTATGTATTTTAAGATTTTATTTATTTATTCATGAGAGACAGAGAGAGGCAGAGACATAGGCAGAGGGAGAAGCAGGCTCCCTGCGGGGAACCCGATTGGGGACTCAATTCCAGGACCTGGGATCAGGCCCTGAGCTGAAGGCAGACACTTGACCAATGAGCCACCCAGGTGCCCCTGGTTTCATATTTTTAAAGGATCACTCTGGTTGCAGGGTGGAGAGTAGGCTGTTTGGGTGTATGACTGTGAAAGCAGGGAGACCATTTGGGAGACAGTTGGAGAAGCCAAGAGTGGGAAGGTCGTGATGCCTAGCACTCAGGTGAAACAGGTGGGGGTGGTGAGAAGTGATCACGCTCAGCACTTATTTCAAAGGTGTTGCTGACAAGTTTGGACATAAGGTATGAGAAAAAAGAGAGGAATTAAAGATAACTTCCAATCTGGGGCCTAAGCACCAGGGTAAACAGTAATGCATTTGGCTGAAACTAGGGAAACTAGAGAATGATGGTGATGTAAGTAGCTGGCAGGAGTGGAAAGCACAAGTGTTGATTTTGTGTAGCCACTCTGAGTAGTATCTATTCAACATCTAAGGGGAGGAGTGCCTAGGTGGCTCAAATGGTTAAGCATCTGACTTTGGCTCAGGTTGTGATCTTAGCGTTCTGGGATCAAGCCTTGTGTCAGGCTCTGTTCAGTAGAGAGTCTACTTCTCCCTCTGTGCTTTCTCTCTTTCACTCTTTCTCTCAAATAAATAAAAATTAAAAATCATTTTTAACAAAACCCATCTAAGTAGAGATGCCAACTGGCAGTTAGATACATGAGTTTGGAGTTGCGAGGGGCAGCGGGGCTACCATGTAAGCTGTGGACACTTCAACATATTTAAACCCACAGAAGTGGACAGATCTATAAGGAAGGACATTTGGAGAGAAAAGAGAGATAAGACTGAGCCCTGGGGCCTTCTGGTATTTGAGGGCTGGGAAGAGGAGAACCAACCAGCAGAAGAAGTTGAGAAGGAGCATCCAGGGAAGTAGGAAGAAAACCAGGAGGCTGTATTGTTCCCAAAGCCAAATGGAAATGTTTAAAGAAGGCAGGAGTATTCAGCTGTGTCACAGGCAGCTGCTCAGCCAAGGCTGGGAATCGACATTTTACTTGGCCATGTGGAGGTCTTTGGTGATAGGAGGAGGTCCGTTGGGGATAATAGCCTCAGTGACATGGTGGAGACAAAAGCCTGACTGTGTGCTTCTTAAAATGAAAGATGAAGATGTGAGAACAGTGAAAAGAGAAGACACAACTCTTGGGGAAGCTTCTCGTAGACAATAAAACAGGGAAATAGGGTGTAGACCGAAGGATCTAGAGAGAGTTTCCAAAGGTAGGCTATAGGATATTATGTTTATATTCTGATGGAACAAAGGAATAGAGGTGCTGATGGTATAGGTGAGGGAGGAGATGGGATTCAGAGCCCAAGTGGAGTGTTGGGAAGTGAGGGAGAAGCCAGAGTAGTAGAGTCCTAGAAAGTCCTTAAGGACATATTTGAGATTTATAGATATAAACTGAAAGTAAGACCAGTCAGGAAGGTTGTGTGTTACTTTCTAATAGCTAAGACGCTGAGGATTATGGGGAATATTGCTGATGATTGACCATACCTATGAACCACAGTAAAGACGTGCATTTATGCAGGGACATAAACTAGAACAGATGAGGAGTCATAAAGAGTCAGATGGTGGACAAAGGGGAACTCTGGTCTAACCATAGCCTCTCTTGGATCTGCTCTCCTAGGCAATTAGTAACATTGAGGTGAAATGTTATGGTGGCAGGAAGTTGTGGTCAGACAGGAACACCCAGATCACTGGGCTTCCTTTAAATCCTAACAATGAGGGTGCAACAGCAGGAACATTGAGAACTTAAAGTGGGCAGTCCAACCATGCTGCTCAGTAGGCAAAGGGTCCCTAAACCTAGCAGGATCTGTGGTCCACAGTTTCTTGATGCCACCAAATGAGCAAGAGCCGATTTCTTCTAGGATTTATTGACTGTATAAGAAGTGCCAGGCACTGATTTAGAACAAAAAGATGAATAAAGCACCTTCCCTGCCCTCAAGGGCATCACAATCTAGTTAAGGAAACAAATTAGGAACAATTATCACAAGTCCATGAAGTGGTATTAGAGGCGCTAAGGAATATAACAGTTAACTGTGTCTGGAGGTCACTGTGGAAACTTCTAGAAGTACCACTGTTGACTGAGCAGGGACTTGAAGCCTGCACTACTTCTGCTGGGCCGTCAGTGAGATATTGTTTATTGTTAGTAACTGTCTTAAGTACATCTTTCATGCAAAATGGGAATAGAAGAATAAATGGCATATAAATATACCATTAATAATTATGTTATCATACACAATGGACACAAGCTTTCAAGTATGACAAGTACTGTCTTGGGAAGAAGAGATTATCAATCTGAGCAAGGCTGTCAAAGAACAGCCGGATTAGAAACTAAGGCAGGCAGGGATGTGTGTGGTATATAAAGCTGAGAAGCAAAGTGCCCACATGTGTACGAACCAGCCCAGGATAGCCAGATGAGAGGGCTCCTCACAGCCTCCACACTTCCCTCCTTCCTAGCTCCTGCCCTCAGGGCCAGGCTGATTGTTGGACTGAGGAGTGTGATTGCTGGTGGAAATCTGACTTGCTCACTCTCAAGTCTTAGTGTTGCTGGTCTTGTTTTCTTTTTGCATCTTCAATGTTTGGTTGAAATTCAGAACCCCTTGTAAGGGGGTGTGGTGTCATGTTTGAGGGTCTT